AGACTCCTTTTTTTTTGTTTTCTCAAATCATCATCTTGATTCACTCTGTAATTGATAACCATATCAACAAAAGATATCGAAAAAAGTTGCCAATGAGCTTCAAAAATCGTATGCCACTTGCTTTCCACTTGATTCCTGACAAGGGGTCAGAAGAGCAAGATATACAAAAGCATTAATTATATCAATGAGTGTTCCAATAATCCGCGTGTAAACAGTGGTACTTGTTCTGACTGAGTGAACAGTTATGTTTGTGCTTGTCGGCCTGGATTCTAAGGACTCTGTTGTGAAATGAGAAGCAAAAGAAGACTGTGATTTGCTTATAATGGTGACCTTGACAGTATTCCTTCTGAAGTTTTTCTTACAACATCCACCCATTACTGGTAACCCCACAATGCTGTGAATAAACAGGTGTTCAAATAAATATACAAATGAATCACTCAATAGTATTATTAGAATTATCCTGCTTCACCAAATGTTTAGAAACATGATTACCTTATAATAAAATTAATTTAACCTTGGTTAAGATTTATTTCCTCTCAGCTAAATCTTGGGAAGCACATTCAAATACAAATAATTTCTAGAAGGCAGACCCCCTGGCCAATCTGAGGTTAGAGAAGATGGTGAACTACAGATTTGCAGCTGGCCATGCAACCCATTCAAACTATACTATGAGGACCACATGTACACTGCTTAATCACTTATTACTGGGAAACTAAGAAAGCCACAAACACTTTGATTTGATTCTCACAGGGCAGTTGTGTATGGTTCAACACAAAATTCAGGAGTGAGCAAACTCCCTACTGCTCCTGTTTAGTTGTATTGAATTGCAAGGACATTAAGTACATGTATTTCTACAGGGAGCCCACACAAGCGGCGTGTCTGGTCGTTTGTTCGAAATATAAAGAAATGTATGGGAGAATTAATATTAAAAGAACAACGTAAAGTAATACTCAACGAAAAACCCATCAAATCGCTCAAATTCGCCATTTAGAACCACAGAAACGACAACACACAACAAGTGAGGTAGGTTAACATTTATTCTGAGCCTTAACATAGACATTCCTTGATATAAGTGTACGATATTACGACTCTTCAATATTCTCCCATACATTTCTTTCTATTTCGAACAAAGACCAGACACGCCGCTTGTGTGGGCTCCTTGT